GACCGCGGCGGCTCTTCGGAGAGCCCGCGTCGGCGCGGCGGGGGCTGATCCCTGCAAGGCCTGTTCTGCGGACTTCCCCCTCGACGGGGCCAGGAGGGGCTCGTTTCTCGACCGCGCTGCGCGCGCCGGCCCTCGCGCTCTCGTTGCTTCCGGGCCCGGCGCCCGGCGCTCGGCGCTCGGCGCGCGAGCGTCTCGTTCTCCGCGCCAGCCCCTTAGAGCCATATCGGGCGCGCCCCCCTACATGGGGGATTTCCGACGATATATATATATATATATATATATATATATATATATATATAATATATATATATAGCACCCCAAACATACCCCATAAATGTTTGAACGCAATTTTTTTTTGAAAAAGTCACCAGATTATTTTTGGAATTTGTTTTGATTATTGTTTGCGGCATGTTTTATTTTTCGGCGAACATCCCCCTGTAGGGGGGCAGGCCCGACTTAATATAAGAGGCTTGTCAGGCCCTTTGCATCGCTGCTGTCGGGGTTGACCCCTTTTCCGTCCGATGTGGCGCGGTCGGTCCTAGCTCCCGTGGCCTTCGGTGGCGCAGTCGCGCGTCCTTGCCGCTCCTGGTGCAGTGGGGCCTGCGCGGATTGTACTCGCGCAAAAGATGCGAACGCAATGCAGCGTCGTTCGGGAGGCATTTGGTTAACTCTTGCGGGGCCCCGCCCAGCACGGGCCTCGAGAATGCGCGCCGCATCCGCAAGGGCTTCTTCCCCTCTTACGTGGGGCCCTCGCTTGTAGTTTCGAGGCCCCGCGAGGCCCGCGAAGTGTGTTCCGCAGCGTCTACGCGCTGCTGGGCCTTGATCGGCCGCGTCGGGTCCCCCCCCGCATCGCGGGGGGCCCTCGCCCCTCCCGCCTATCGGCGGGAGAGTAGGGGACAGGGGTCGGTTTCTTTCTTCTGGCTGAGAGCGCTGGGACCCGCGCCGCCTTCTTCAATTCCGTCTCACTATCCCGCGCGATGTGGTTGCCAAGTCGTTCCTCCTCCTTCCTCCTCCTCCTCCTTCCTCCTCCTCCTCCTCCTTCTCCTTCTCCTCTTCCTCCTCCTTCTCTCGTTTCCCTCCACTGCTCGTCCTCCATCCTGCCTCCCATGCTTCCCTCCTCCCCCTGGTCGCGTTCCTCTCCACATCCTCCTCCTGTTCCTGCTACTGCTCCTCTTGACTCCTGCTCATTTCCCCTCCCATCCTCCTCCTGCTACGAACTCTTATCTTACACAGGGTGTTTAGAGCCCCGACCACCTTATCTCGGCACGGCACCGCCCCCCCGCATCCCGCGCCCCACTTGTATATCACTCCGACCACCAGCCAGCGCGCTCCCTCCGCCCCGACCCTTCTATTTCGGCACGGCACCGCCCCCTCCCATTCCGCACGCCCCCTCCGCATCACCCGACCCACCAGCCAGCGCGCCCCCTCCGCCCCGACCCCTGGGCACGGCACCGCCCCTCCATCCCGAACGCCCCTCTGCACCACCCCGCCCACCAGCCAGCGCCCCCCCTCCGCCCCGACCCTTTTTTTTTAATTTTATTTCGGCACGGCACCGCCTCCCCCATCCCGAGCGCCACTTGCGTCACCCCATCCACCAGCCAGCGCGCCCCCTCCGTCCCGACCCCTTTTATTTCGGCACGGCACCGCCCCACCGCATCCCGCGCGCTTCTTCCGCATCCCCCACTTCCATTGTTTTTCCGTTTGCTCACTTGCCAACTGTTTCTATATAGGTTATAACCTATGTTATAACTGCACAACCATACTTGTAAACCATGTTTTAAACCATCAGCCGTTTATAAGTGCGCCACATATATGACTGTTTTGGCGCCGCTTATATTTGGTTACAAGTGGCTTCGCGTACTTACAAAGCGTTTGTGCTTAACCATCTTAACACGTTTATAAACATTTGAGGAAACAATCAAACAAAGGGTATGAACAGTTATGAAAAAAAACTTAGAAACACTTTAAACAGTTATTTCCACGTATGAAAATAACATAAATTATCTTACACTTACAAATCGTTACGAACAGTTATGATCATTTAGTTGACAGCGTGAATGCGCGGGGAAGCGGCGTGGCACGCTTTGGAGACCTTTGGTTGAGGGTCGGTGAGGTTATTGTGAAAGCCAATGCAAAGTTTGCCTTCCTCTAGGCCCACACTCCTGTGACACCCTCGCTGGCGTTGGTCGAGACACGTTGGATAGAAAATGAGGGAGCGCCCCCTGTGCCAGCACGGGCTCAGGGATAGAAGGGTTGGGTTGCCGGTGTTTTTTGATCGTTGGCTGTCTTTTGCTCCCGTAGCCTGTGGTGTTGGGTCCTCGTTTTGAATAGACAGCGGCCCGCGTCTCCTCTTTCTCCTGCTCCTACTCCCCCTCCTCCCCTTCCTCCATTGTTCCCCTTCTCTGCTCTCAGCTTGTCAACTACTTCGGCACGCCACTCACGCGTTTCTTGACCTCTTTGGGAGTTCCACCGAAGGCCCCAGTGGCAGGGCCCGCATGCCTCCACCCCATCCGCGCTCGCAACCCCTATGGGGAGCTCGACCGAAGGCTTCAGTGTCAGGGCCCGCATCCCACCCCACCCTTCACACGTTTCGTGGCCCCGAATTGCGGTTCTCACAACTGCATATGGTTGGGTCCTTCGCCAGGCTATTTGTGTTTGTTTTGGGGGGGGCCTGGCCCGAGTGCTCTCGCCTCAGCGGAGGACACGTCCCTGGTTGGGAATGGTGCTCTCGCTCCCGCTCCAGATCCTCCCTGATTGGGCTCTCGCCTCAGCGCGTGCCCGGAACGCGCGGGGCTGTCCCGGGCCCGCGTCCGCCAATCCTCTTCCGCATCGTCCGGGTGGCACTCGACCTCCCCCTCCTCTCCCTGCCCCCCTCCGCAGCAATTTTTGGTTTTGGTTTCTGTGTGGACGCTTGTCTGTGCTCCTCTACATCACTAGATCCCATCCCTTCATCCGAGCGGCTCGCCACTGAGATGGCGGTTGCGCCTGCTTTGAGGCGCATGAGCTGCAAGCGGGAGGTGGACACGGCAATGCTCAAAGAAGCGGGACGTTGCGCAGATGGGACGCCCCTTTGGAAGGTGCACTGACTGCAACAGCCTGCGCGGCAAGATGGACCGCCTGAACAAGGGGCAGCCCGACCTCGCTGACGATTGGAAGGAGCTGCCCGCCGAGGTCAGGGCGGCCCACATTGCCACGCTCAACCAGCTCTCCGGTGAGGACCTGAAGAAAGCGGTGCAGGACATCGTGACTGAGCAGCGGATCCTCTCGGACATTAGCCAGTTCGGCGGCCACTGCGACCAGTGGAAGGACGAGAGCGAGTTGCTGGAGAAGTACAAGGGCAGGGCCTTCCAGGCCGCCAACATCATGGCGAATGCGCGGTCCATCATCCACCCCACTCGGCAGGTTCAGGTCTGGGAGGACGCCGACATCAGGAGCGCGAACCTCATGAGGGAGGAGCGCACCAAGAAGCAGGAGACTACGGCGTCCCAGGACACCATGGTCAAGGGCTCCAAGCGCAAGGCCGCGCCGGGCGAGCCGAAGGCGCCGCGCAAGAGGCGCGGTGCAGCGGCTCTTGCCGACGGCGATGCTGAGCAGCCTCCCGCTCAGATCGAGGCGCCGAAGCCCAAGCCGGCTCCCAAGGCGGCTGCCAAGAAGATCGACGCCCTGATGGAAAAAATCGGCTCGGCGAAGGAGGAGCTCGACGTCCTGATCGAGGAGGCTGCCGAGGAGAACGTGGCCGGGATGTTGGCTACAAAGCTCGTCGACAAAGCTAAGGCGACGGCCTGGGCATAGAGTAGGCGTTGGAGACCTTGCCCCCATATGTCACCCGCGGCCCGACGATTTCCCAAGATGGGCAGGCCTGTAGATTTCAATGGGGGATGGTCGTTATCGCATACTCCGTGACCAATCCGGCACAGGCGATGCAGCCTCTCCTGGTGGCTTCCGTGGCCGGGCTCACCCTCGCCCTGGAGGACGCAGAGCAGGTGAAGTCTGCGCTGGAGGATGGCAGCAATCAGCTCCAGCAGGGCAAGATCGTCGCGGATTGCCTCAAGACGCAGATCAACAGCATCAAGGAGATGCTGGGGGAGGACGAGGACGAGGACCAGGAGCAGGAGCAGCAGACCGAGTGGGCATGCCCGGAGGTTGTTGAAGTGAGACGCTGATCGGGGCACAGCGCTCATCGCCGAGTAGCGGCGACGCAATCACATGCATCAGAGTTTCAGGCGACAGGATTTGCCAGTTGTCATGCTAGCTTTAAGCAGCAGAGTTTCAGGCGATAGGATTTGCAAGTTGTCATGCTAGCTCTAAGTCGCGTGCGCAACGACGCAGACAAACCTCTTTTCCCAAGTTACACTTCCCGAGTTGCACTGTAATGCCCGTGTGTGTATACGCATTGGGACTACGTAGGCGCAGACGGTATGTGGTTTCTCCGTCGGTGACAGTCCTTTGCAAATACAGTGCTCTTTGGATTCAGGAGACGAAAATGATAAGAGTCCACATCGTTCTCTTGGTTTACGTCTCATGTATTGTTCCAACACATCCCCCACCTCCCCTACTCCTCCACCTCCCCCTCCCTCGGAGCAAGGAGGGCGGGAGTCTAAGCCTGCCCGCCCTCGCACCTCGCACTATGCCTGTCGCGGCGACGACGACGAGAGGGTCTTGCCAGCCTCAGCGACGCCAAACTCTGTCCGAAATGTGCCCCCAGAACCCTCCCAGGAAGGGCCCCCCGAAGGAAAGCAAGCAACGAACCTCGATTATCAAGATATGAGGTTCGATCCTCGATAGAGAGGAAGGGGCCCCCGAAGGAAAGCAAGCAACGAACCTCGATTATCAAGATGTGAGGTTCGATCCTCGATAGGAGATTGTCCCCCCATTCCCTCGCCATCCCCATCTTCCTCCTCATTCCACCTGCCCCCCCCCCGCAGCCGTTTTGGCTCGAGACATTTCGTCATCTTGCTTCTCGCGCGATTCGGACCAGTTGCAGTCACCTCGCCGAGTGCATGGCGGCGCCTGCTCAGCTCGCCAAGAGGGCCGAGCTGTTCATGGAGTTCACTAAGGCGAGGCTCCAGTTCATCACTTGCAATATCCACGGTGGGATGGAGATCATGAGCCATCGGCACACGACGATGTCACGCACTGCTACGTCTGCCGTGCTGCGCCAGCTGGAATCGATCACAGCCTTGCCTATTCACGTCGCTTCTGAACTAGTGGAGGTGTTGACCGGCCCGGCCCTCGACATTCTTGTCGAAGCTGATCGGCGGGCCCTGGTCGCCGGGATCAACGGCAAGACCGACCTCGACGGGACTGGCGCGGGCCAAGTCGTCAAGGACGATGAGAAGAAGCAGGTCGTGCAGTATCCAGAGAGGTATTTCACCGAGGCAGAGTGGCAGGCGCTTCGCACAACCGCGGAGATGGCCGTCAGCACCATTGTGAACAAGATGATCACGCTGCGCATTCTCTTCCCCAACGAGGACACCGTCGCGAATTTCAGTGCGGTGGGCCAGTGGGCGCAGCGTGACAATACCATGAACGATGCTATCTGGTGGAGGGACTCGATCAAGAGCAACTTGAAAACGCTCCGGAAGACCGTTCCACCCTCCCAGCAATTCATCAAGGTCTACCCTGAGGACCCGCGCGCCCTCGCCGAGGTAGATTCTGTGCTGTTCAACTCGGGCTTCCTCGCGGCACCTGCAGTCGATCCTCCCGACGATCTCTTCCCAGATGCGCTCCCCATCATGAAGAGCGCGATGCCGCGCCGCGTCTCGAACCAGTTGACTGGGAACAAGGGGCCGCGCCGTGCTCCGGCGGTGGCGCGGGCGAGGTCGTGCCCGCCCGCCTTTGCGGCGCCCCCGCTTGGCGCCAGGCCGCTGGGCTACCAGGACTCGCCGCCGAGCTACCAGGACTCGCCGCCGGGCTACCAGCTCGCGCCGCTGGGCTACCAGGACTCGCCACCAGGCTACCACGTGGACGGCGCGGTCGCGGGCAGCGCAGGGGCACAGCGCAGTGCCGAGGTTGCCCAAACTTACGCCCTTCTTTCAATTTATCTTGTCCCTCCTCACCCTCCTTTGCCTCGTCCTCCTGCACCTTTATCCTCCCCCTCTTGCTCCTCATCTGCCCCCTTATCTGCCCCCCTCCTCCTCCCAGATGCCCCCCCTCCTCTTCTCCCGAGGTGCCGAGCTCAGGCAGTCTGCGCCAGCGGGGGTTCGCGCGGCGGCGCCGAGCGGCAAGGCGCCGCCGTTTCAGGGTCCTGCGCTGATGCCGCCGCCGCAGGGCGCTGTTCCAGGCCCAGTCGCAGGTCCGGCCGCGGCGCCAGTTCCGATAATGCCGCCGATGGCGGCGGGGCCCAGCGCAGGCGCAGAGGCCGCCGCTGGGGCCCTTGCCCCAGGCGATGCTGCAGCGGCCGCCGTGGATCAGATGCTCGACGAAATGGGCAAGAAGGGGGGCAAGTCGGCCAGCAAGGGTAAGACGAGCGACACAGGGCGCCCCGTCTTGAAGCGCCCGGCGGCAGCGAGTGCAGGCCCTGCGAAGAAGAAGCCCGCTGCGGCAGGCCCGTCGACGCCTGCGAAGAGCGGCTCAGTCCCCGAGCCCAGTTCCCGGGGGAAGCTGAAGGTTCCTGCCTATCCTGGGGCCGGGTACTTCGAACCGATGAGCTGCGGTGAGGCCACGATCCACTGCTCCCACGACAAGAATCTCTGGCGCGTGAAGCCGGAGAAGGCCTCGCGCGATGACAAGGAGTTTGCGTGGGGCAGCCGTGACCCACGCGAGGCGTGGAAGCTCGTGCAGAAGCATCTTCGTGACCTTGCCAACGCAAAGTAGCGCTAGCAAGTAGCAAGCGGTGTAGTGTCCAGGCCTGGCTCAGTTCCCGCGGGCAAGCTGCGGGGAACTGCTGTTGTGGCGGTCGGCATTGTCGATGCTAATGGGTTTCTTGTGCATGTATTGGGGAGTGCCCTTAGCGCAGCCTAAGTTCCAGGACGCGCGCCCTGCATCTGCCAGCCGCAGCCCTTGCCCAGGCAAGCGCTTCCAGACAAAGCCCAGTAGATGGTGAATTCCACGTTGCAGAAAGTGAAAAACACTTCGCGTTTGCATTCAATCTATTCTACACCCTCCTTCGTTACCCCCCTCGTGCTCAACGCCCTCCTCCCCCATCTGCCTCCCACTCCTCCTTCCCCTCGCTCTTTCAGGGGGCTGGTCAAAAGCAAAGCGTTGGCGCCCATGGGTCCTCATTCTCCCATTCCCCCCTCCTCCCTCCCCCTCCGCCTCCTGCTCGCCCTCCTCCCCCCGCACCCTGATCCCACTCCCTCGCCCGTTGCCGCGCTGCGAAATGCAATCCTGTTACTCCCCCCCCATCCATCCCCATCTCGACGCATTCCAATACTACAAACCCTCCTCTCCCAACGGTATAGCCGTTTTGGCTCAAGGCGTTGTGCGCGGCGCTATCTTCCTTGCGTTTCCCCGCAATGCACGTTCCAGGCCGGAAGCGGCCCCTCGACGATGCAGCGGCGAGACTAGCCGGCCAGAAGCGCCCGGCCGCTATTGGCCCCTTGACGATGCTGTCGCGAGAGAAGGCGAAGCAGGCCAAGAGCGAGGTGCCCAAGATTGACCCTGAGGACCCCACGTTTCTCGCATCACGCTTCAGCGAGGTATTCTCACAGTCAGAACCCAGCGCGTCTCAGGAATCAGCATCTGCCGCCGCGGCGGAGACGACGTCGCCAAGCCCGCAGCAGGCACCTGATGCGGGGCCAGGCGGCCCGAGCGGATATTTTCCAGCCAAGCAGTTTCTCGACCTGATGTTCGACCCCTTTTCGCTGTTGTTTCCGGACCGCTCTCCCCTGGATCCCAGTCCTCCTGAGCGGCCCCACGCCATCAGGGTTGCCTTCCCTCGCGGTGGCATCGTGGAAACTACACAGGTGTTCGACGTTGCTGGCCTGAAGATCGAGAGCGTGAACATTATGGACACCGACATTCATAACAGGACCATCATCAAGAAGATGGCCAGAAAGCACGCGCTCTCTACGGCGCCCCTGCTAGGGAAAGCGAACGGTAACATGCTCAGCAAGCCTGTTGCCGCCTTCGAGGGTGCCGAGGTGGTTGTCGGCAAGCCTCCCTTGCCAGCGTGGGCAGTTGGCGCTAAGAGGTCCGAGTCTCCGACCGCCATGCACGAATATGCGAAGTTGTTTCAGTACCTGATGCATATGATCAACAGCGACGCGCTGCAAGTTGCAGTTGTTGCGCACCCCTCCGAGACGATGGAGAGCCACCGTGGACGTGAACCTTGCTTGCCGAACATGTTGAGCCTCTGCGCCAAGCACGCCCCGCACTTTCACTGGGACATCGTGGAGCTGCGCGCGCAGGACTACGGTTTGCCCCAACCCGACGTCGTGCAGTTCATGCGGTGCTTGAGAAAGGTTCGGCGGCCAAATTCCACGTCAATTCGCAGAGCTCCCCTTCAATGTGTCTCCGAGGAAGGGAGGGGGCGCGCATGGGCGTGGATGTTTGGCCTTCGCCAAGGCGCATTCCGATGTCATGCCGGACGCGATGGCCACCATTGGCAGCTTTCGTCTCTCCTACTTCCTCGACCAGGCCGAGGAGAACATCATCCGCGGGAATATCTCATGGAAGCACATGCGCGAGAACCTGGCGGACAACGAGCGCTTCATCAAGAGAGCGGTTCGCCGTTCGCCGTCAAAGCGCACCGAGGATAGTGCGGCTGCAGTCAACATCGATCGACCTGGCTCGCTGCTCTATTGCGACGACGCCCTCGCCCTGTCGTTGGACTACAAGCACGTCTTCCTGCTGAGCACGCGTGACTTGGAGGAGCCTTGTCAGAAACGCAGGGTCTTTCGGTTCCTCTCCGACAAGGAGCGCGTGGCCCTGAAAGGCGCGAACCCCCACATCGTCAACCATCTGTCGCCGGACCACGTGTGCAGCGCTGCTGCCAGATACATTCCGACGACCTTGCTAGGGGCAGCCGCCATGCCTTTGATCAAGGCAATGATCTCGAGATGCAAGCGCAACTACCATTCGCTGGAAGGCAGCAGCCTTGGCCAGCAGTCAGCAGAAACGAGCGCCTTCACAACTGAGCTTATGGGCGCGTTGGGAAATAAGTTTAACGCCTGTGCGGCCAAGAGCCACATTTCAGCCACGAAGCGCACCGCTTCGGCTACAGCCAAGTAAACTTGGATCCTGCTCATGTTTAGTCTATCGCTCTCCTTTCCACCAGCACCCCCCACGCCCTCGCATTTATGCACGTCTTGTATCCCTCCTCGCTCTTGGTCGATCCAACCCCTCTTCCTGCCCCCCTCACTTTGGAGTAGTATAGCTCTATGACTCGGCAGGTCGGGGAAAGCAACGGTGCATGGCATCGTTCGCGCCTAGCTAGGATTGAATCGATGATATCCCGATGAGTTTGGGAGATAGGAATAAGCATGTGCTGGTTCTACCTCCTCCTACGTCTGCCTATCTTCCTCCATGCTCTCCCTCCTCCTCCTCCATCCCACCATCCTCACACCTCTGCAAACAATATGGACGCACCGCGCGCGCGCGGGGTGCACGCGTGCCTATACATGGCACGCGCGTGACTTGCACGCCACCTGCACGCCACCTGCACGCCACCTGCACGCCACCTGCACGCCGCCTGCACGTCGCTTGCACGCCGCCTGCACGCCCACCCACGCGCCACCTGCACGCCACCTGCACGCCGACGGCCACCTGCGCGCCACCTGCACGCGGGGGCGGGCCCGACCCCTCGAGGTCCCCTCAGGCCACTTGCACGCCTGATCCGGGGTGCCCCATCCCCAGCTTCGATCGCCCCCGACCGGATGAGCAGGGAGAGGAGGGAGATGAAGGAGGTGAGCAAAATGCGGATGAGGAGGGATAAGAGGAGGAGGAGGAGGAGGAGGTGGAGGAGGAGGAGGAGGCGAGGAGGAGGAGGAGGAAGGGGAAGCAGAGGAGGGGGGGCCGACGCGCGCGCGGCCGGCCGGCCCGCATTTCTAGAGTATCTTTATCACGCAGGCCCGCGCCCGGCGCTTGCAAGGGAGGGTGGATGCGTGCGTGAGGGCTCAGAGGGCCCCCAAGGTACCATCCCTCCCGCGGGCGCCAACGTGGCAAAACCATGGCCCTGCACCGCTTGGGGCTACTGTGGACCATAGCCGTCGCTGCGCGGCATGGGTTTTGCCGCGCTGGTGCCCAGCGGAGGGATGATGCTCTGGGGGCCTCGAAAGGGGTCTGACAATTGGTCTCCGGGATCCCCTCGCCGAGTCTGCCGCGCTCCTCGCTTGGTCTGCGGCGATCCTCTCCGTTCGAAACAATGCCTGGGACATGTCGGTTCTGCGAGGATGTCGGCATCGAAATGCATATATGTTAGAGACGGCGTCGAAACATATACGTATCACAACATGCCATTATGCGGAAGTATGTCTCAGGCCAAACGCTTTTGTGTTTCATAACACGCTGATAACATATCATGTGTATCCATCCGCGTGAGGATGTCCCGAGCGAAAATGTTATGCCTCCCCGATAAACTGCCTCTTCCTGCCGTCCCCTTTCTCCGTCTTCTCGTGCCGCGCAACGGGGGGGACCTCGATCCCGCCGACCATCCGCGCGCGCGCGGGGAGGGCGGGCCGGCCACTGGCCCTCCATCAGGGTCCCACAAGCCACCAAACAGGGACAATCAGATCCCGCCAAACCTCCCCGTCCCCCTCCTCCGACTCCTCCTCCCATTCCCCACGTAGCAGTTGCCATTCTGGTCCAAGTGTTTTAGCATGCCCGAACGCAAGAATTTGGTGGCGGGGGGCTCTCGACGCAAAGAGGAGGGCCATATCTAATGTAGTTGAGGCTGGGGGCAATATATCGGCAGCTGTGAATGCATCCTGCAAGCGAGGTTCAACGGGTCGCTCTGCTTTGCTGAAAGTTGTTTACAATGACCAGAAAGCAATAGCCAAGACCGAGACCCCCTACGGACCAGTTGTTCAGCCTATCTCTCTACCACTGGATGACGGAAAGACACTCGAGACAGAGTTCGTTCACCCTTTAGCCCTACTTCGCTACATTTCGTCTCGGAGCAACGACGCGGCAAGATTCTATCGCGATATGGTCGGTAATCGCAGGGCCACCTTGACGATTCGCGCTGACGACGGAAAGTGTGGAAACAATCAGAGGCCCGATAAGGGCCGTACATTCTGGTCTCCGACGTGGAATTTCAGAATTGCCCAGTCGGTTCAGAAACAGGTGCATATCATGGGCACCACTGTGCTATGCAGGTGGCTCCGCCGATATCCGCCGCGCACCTTGATAGCCACGATATCTAATTATTATTCTTCTACGCCCACAAAAAAAACACAAACATGCCCTAACGATGTGCCTGGGGAGGGCGCGCTGGGCGGCCTGGCGGATCTACCAGGAATGATCGTGGGGGGGGCTGATATATCAGGAGCCTTCTGCACGATCCTCAAGCGCATATGTTCCAATTCGCCGGCTGAATCCAGTTTCGAAGACGGCATGGTAATGACCGCCGACGGCGTGCAGTTCACGGTAGCTGCCAGATTTGGGCCGCTGATTTGCGATGAAAAAGCATTCAAGGAGATCGGTTGTGTCGTGGGCGCTGGCGGGGTCAAGCGCTGCCTTCATTGCATGAACGTCGTAAACAGGCAAGCCGCGCAGAGACTACCCGCGGGTGGATATGCTGTATCTTGCATGTGCACAGATAAGCAAAAATTCATGCCCCACGCGCCGGACACGATTGCAAACGCGGCCGCGAGGCTACTCGGTGGGGCACCTCCAATGTCGATCGCCCCCCGGCCCTTTCAATCCCCCCCTTC